AGAGATGCTGCCCTGCCTGAATGTTTAACAGTATGGCATTAATCTTACTAGCTCCATGAGATAGACGTGTGTATGTGTGGTGACTGATATTAAATGGGACTAGGTGTACGTATTGATTGAGTGGATGAATGATTACCTTACATATTAGTACATTGGATTTTATTGGCATGTACGCCAATTATGACATCAACCTCTCCAGGGACTGAAGGTGGAAAAGAACTATTTTGCTATAACCTGCGAGAGGGTTAAGACAAACACATTACCTCTTTCTATAGGTCAGTGTTTTTATGTGCATTGTTTCTATTTTATTTTTTTCAAGGAGTTACAACAAAAACAGCTGTAACTGAACAAATGTACATTAAATGAAGAGCCATACTATGGAACATTCCAGGCAAAGCAATAGCTCTGTAGACAAGCAAGCAGGAAACCCCCACCAAGTAAGCATCCTGGAGGAATTAAAATGTGGGGAACTTTTTAAAGCGTAGTATCTCCCAATTCCATCTGCAAATAAATTTTATATTAATAATGAGGTTATACGCCTATAACAGGTTTTAATCTGAGTCATATAAGACTATAAAACATTTTGTCCTTAGCAACCTATACTTAAACATTCATTGACTGATATGTGAGTCTGGAAAGCAATAGTACAATATTGGAAATTAAATTGAGTATACTAATAAATTAAATTTTGAGAAAATACAAGGCACACTGCCAGTGATATTTTTTCAGAGATATTAATGGCATAAATTAAAGTGGAAGCACTTTTGCAGCAGACACTCTTACACTGAACTAATTTCCAGTAGAAGCCACAGAAAACAAACTATGTGGGCAATGGTCTGAATTTATTTTGCAGAAACACAAAAGAAAAACCATCTGGGCTGGCGCTTTGCAGTTCATTTCAGTTACCATAACATTGCTTATTTTCATGCAGTCAGCAAACGGTCCTGACCTTAACTGCAAGTATGAATTGTCGCCATAGAAATGTACACAAGGGTTTTACATGATAGAAGATAGCACAAGAAATGTGCAAGGCTTTGTCATTTTTCTCCCAATACAGAACCATTATAATTTCCTATGTCAAACTAATGTGGCCTGGAATATTATCAGTGCTATGAATAGATAATAGTGGTGGTGATGTCAGTTTTCATTGAGCTGTTACCTTCATACAAAGCCGTGGTTGGTTCTCTGGCAGCCTCAGGGGGCAACGTAAACAGTCACCTAGCCGAGGGCATACATCTCTGCAGCAGGTTGGAATGCTGCAGGCTACGATGGCTTTGTGAACTCTTTGCTTTAGGTCTCACACTCAGGTTAGCTCCCTTATCCTATTAGCTTGCAGGATATGTCAGACTTAGGGCAATAAGCTAAAGAGATCCTGTAAGAACATTTAAAACAGTGAGTGACGTGCATGTCAGAATGTGGAAGTATAGGTTCAGCCCACTGAAAGGCATTTGAAAACCTAAGCAGGCCTACACATTTTACTGATGATTGCTTTAATTATTATTTATTATTTTATTTAGATAGCCAATCATTTGTGATGATGTCAGATTATTGGGGGGAAGCAGTAGGCCTAAGCTACTTTATATTTTTATTACCCACATTAGATGTGTTGGTAGTGAATGAGAAACATCCCAAAGAAAAGTCAAAGCATGCATTAGCAATGTAAATGGATTTATATCACAACTATAAATCAATGACTGTGAATAAAAATATTAATTAAAGTGATTTTACAGCAGATTAATAGAAGCCTAGTGGTTAGGCTGTGTTTTTGGTAGTGTCTTACCTATAGCGACCTATAGCTGACTCAACTGAAGCAAGCAACTGAAGGAGCTTGAGACACAAGAGAATTTGACCACTGGCCTAAAAGACTTAGGTCTATATCACTGTGAAATGTTCCCATGGATCAAATAGTCATGTCCTCAAAAGGCTATACAGATTCTTTAGTGCTTTCTAGGAAATTTGTTAGGAATAATTTTTGTTCAGCTATCTGGGTCCTATTTTTGCTATTAGATAGATTGGAATATCATGTATTTGTCTCATAGCTGTGATTATATCCCTTATCTTCACATGACCTCAGTACAATAATGAACTACAGCAGGGGCTATACAAAATAACTAAGCATAATAATTATTTACCCTAAAAATTTCCATACATTTTAGGTGTGAGCCAAAAGTTGTAATGAAGCACAATGTTTAGATATGTGTAAATGTTGCAAATAATAAGAAAACTCTCAAATTCCCCAATCAACTTATTTACATCGGTGGAAGATCCTTTGTTAGGGCTGACAGGTCTCTCCCCGGGCTGCATATGCTGACTCTCCTCCAGGTGTTGTCCTCAGAGGCATTTGCATCGCATTTGGAGGAGGCTGCTATTTAGGATGATTGAGAAAGGTTTTTTAGACTCAACATCTGGGTTCAGCGTGCCAGAAATGTAGTTATCAAAATCATTGTTCTCCTTTTCTCCATGTACACTGAGAAGTGCTTTGGATCTTGTCTTCATTCTATGACTGTGCACTGCATGCTTCCTTTTCCTTTTCACGATTATCCCTGTGTGGTGTTGTTGTCTGAAGTCCAGCTCTGGGTAACAGAGGATAAGATGGATGTGGATGTGGATAAAATGAAGCAGCGTTCATCAGCTGTGGAAACTGGAGATCTTCCTCCTCCTCTTGTCTACCGCAAAACTTTGGCAATTTTTTTGTTTGAGCAATTTCAAATTATTTTATCTGCAGAGGTAGAAAGGTAGTGGAGCAATAGCAGCTACACCCTGTGTTAGCCTTTTACAATTAGGAGAAATTAGAGTGAGAGAGCAGAGGAATCATGTTTGCTGTGTTCTTGTCAAGCTGGTTTTATTGATGCTCTTTCTACGGCCCAATATGGCATCAACTATAGTTTGTAATTGTCCATCCTGGGATTTTTGAATTTCTTTTAGAGCCTGGATTGCTTGAGTTTGGTTCTTGATAGCCCTTGGGAGTGGGTCAGTGGTTTCTGTGTGTGGCTGTAACTGTACTTTCAGTTCCTCTAGAGCGGGATAAGTTGTCAAGTCCAGCTGTCCTCCCTTGATTTGTGATGCTGTTGTGAGGAAACGAGTGGTGCCCACATATGATGCCGGTGAAGTCTGAAGCGGCAGTATTTCTTGGATGGGATACAGTGGTGGAGGTGCTAGGGTGGGAGGAGCCTTTTGTGAAGTGTGCCACATGTTGTTCTGGAGGTGGGAGTGGGAAGGATGGCAGTGTGGTTACGGAAAAACTCCACTGTGCTTCTTCACTGATGGTATCATGTCCTTATTCCAGGTAACAATGGTACTTGCTTCAAGGGCTTCCTCTTCAGCTTTCTTCACTATCCCTCTTGAGAATTTTGGTTTGCCTTTAGCCTCGCATTTTGATTTAGCATTTTGAAATGTGTTTTCATAGGATTACTTAATTTCTCTCAAATGTGCATCACTTGGCAGAGGACGGAGTTTACCTTTGTATATCCATTCTGCATCTTGCTATGCTTTCCAAAAACAAGAAAGTTGTTTCAGTGATGGCTTGGTTGAATTTTTAATCCTGCTCAAGGCAGGTGTGGAATTGGCCCAGATTTGTAAAGGTGACAATAGTTAACCTAGAGTTGGAATTTAATAGGTCAGCCATGATAGCGTCTTCTTGTGTTGTATGTGTCAGTGGTCTACTCCAGCCATTGACTAATTTGTGTGGTTTCAAATAAAAGATTGGCTTATTTATTGTATGTGCAGTCTTGCACTGATGAGAATGTTACTAAACACTGAAAACAGATCTTTTATGTTCAACTGAATTGGCTCTGGTTATTTACAGTCTATTAATTATAATTCTTAGTTATCTTATTTTCCAGATTATTTTAAAATTGGTTAAAACTATTGCAATTAAAACAATTGCAACTAAGACCCCAGCCCTTTGGGACAATGGGTGGAAATTAGCCTTAAGCTACGATCCGAAGTGTTTACATTCACGTTGTGTCATGTTGGTCCACTAACATGCTCTGTCCCAATCAAATAAATAAATCAATAAATCAATAGATAACTATGTCTCTCGGCTGGCCTGGGAACGCCGGAGGACCTGGAGGACGTGTCTGGGGTGAAGGAAGTTTGGGAGTCCCTGGTTAGACCGCTGCCCCCGTGACCCGGCCCCGGATAAGCGGAAGAAAATGGATGGATGGAATAAATCAATAGATAACTAACAAAATAAATAATAAAGTTGTCAATGCCATATTTTTCAGGACAAACAATGTTTCTTGGCTTTCGCACAGACAGATAACAGAGGTAATTGCTACAGATGAAATATTATATATTATTACTATACTAGTTTTATCAGTGTCTAACCCTCCTCATCCCTATTAGTAGTTCTTGTGCTATTATTAAATTGGATTTGTTTTTGTCTCACAGCTGTGATCATAGCCCTTATCTTCACATGACCTCAGTACAATAAGGAACTACAGCCGTGGTTATACAAAATAGTTACGCATATAGTTATTTATCCTAACACTCAGATAAATTATTCTTATTATATGGAAAAGGTCTAACCTTCCATAGGTCTCCTCCTGCCCCACTTACAAACTGTCTCTTTAATGAACCGTGCTCATCGGTGTTTAATAAAACATTTCCATGTAGACGATGTTAATGCAGTCCATAAATGAATATGAGGGGCTATAGGACTTCATTGTTCATTTCTATAATAGTCTGGGGGCTATTCGCAGCACCTGGACATGCATGCTTAACAAACCCTGAAGTGGGAGTGAGTGAGTGAGTGTGTGTGTGTGTGTGTGTGTGTAGAGTGAAGATGCTGAGGGGCGTACCGGGGAGAGAGCGGTGCCCCTCGTGTCCAGGCTGCGCTCGGGAATCCAAACGCCTTCCCCAGCCCAGAGACAACAGAGCGCCACAACTCGAGCTTCTGCCAACTTGTCCTCCTCGTGCGCCGCTGTCCTCGTGCGCGGCGGGAGGCGGGGACGGTCCTCGCGCCGCTTTTCATCCGTCCGAACGATCGAGACGCGCGCGGAGAGGAGGAGACACGCGGCGCGCAGGAGATGCCGGGGCTTTAAATTGGACTAGTCACATCGCACATCGTTACTTTCATTCAGCGCAGCCACTGCTTCTGCTCCTGCTTCTGCTGTGGAGAGACGGAACAGCGGGACTTGTGAGTTTCTCCCCGAGTTTTTTTTAGGTGAGTATCGGATAACAACGTGCTTTTGAGCCTTGTATGCTAACTTTAGTGCGAGCTCGTATGCTAATTATAGCTTTAATCTCAGCGCATGTTATTGGACAGAGCATGCCCACCACGGTATTGCATTAGCGTGGCGACAGCGGCTTTTAACGCTAATGTCAGTCCATATTCCTCATGAACACACAGTTTGACACGTTTGGTAGGTCGAGTAGTTTTATTATCGTCGTATAACGTGTTGTTCAAATTGTTGAGAGAGAAAGTAGCGCGGTTCGCAGTCTGGTCTGGTCAGCGGTCCCATGCGGAGTAAAAGCAATTCTTTTTTGTGTTCTTTTTTTCTTTTCAGAAGGCTGGCTGGTTTTGATTTCTGGGTTTCTTATAGAGTGGGGGCTGGTGTACACTGCAGAACTGTGACTTCAAAAAAAAAAAAAAAAAAAAGAATAAAAAAACGTGTGCAGAGGTGGACCAGGCTCGGGCAACTGTTGAACGCAGAGCAGATGTGCAGGCAGAGGCGAAATAAATCACAACCTGGATGTGCCTACTCCCACTGAATATCCTGAAAACAACTCTGGTGAGTGCATCAAATATGAAATCTAATACCAGTCTATGCAATGCCTTAAAATTAATTACAGCCATCCCACTGTCAGTGTAATATCCTTGAGTGAATAAACACTGCTGCTTATTGCTTATGGGTTTTGAAATGATCCCCTCTGTTGTGCATTTCCAATGACATGTCACCTCATCCACTAATGAAGGTGTTTCCGGCGGACTACTTAATTTCCACTGAAACATCTTTATCGTTATAAATAATAAGCAAGCAGAACACATTAAGCTGTTCTCATCTGATCCTCTATCAGAGTTGATGGCATGACCTTGTGGGACAGCGCTGCAGTATTTAGGGATGAGATGAGATTGGGGCATCTATCAGGGAAACCAATTGCACGTGGAAGTTTGTCATTTGTTACAGTAAAAGGCGCAGGGAGCCATTTAAAGAGTAATGATCATGATGTGCTCTTCAGTCAGTCTAGTTGTGGATATTCTCACATTTAATGTACACACCATGTAAGCTATGGGGGATATTAACAAAAATGAATAGCTCCAATGTCGATATTTAGAAGATGTTATGTCAATCCAACAGAAATGTCAAATTACCCACAAAAGTATAGAAATTTACAACATACAGTATGTATTTGATTTTTTCTCAAAAAATGTCATCAGGTGTTTATGCAGACTAACTAAACTAAACCATTTAAGCAATATGTTCCTTAATTTATGTCAGAATTTCAGATGGAGAGCAGGGCCTAGGCCTGTCACGATAACACATTAGCTCAGTATATTTCTGAGCTAAATATAGACTCTAAACAATAATACTGTACTGTATTGCAACCAATCCATAAAACAGAATTGTCCTCCAAAATGTACAATATTGTTAAAAACATGGGCTGCAATGCATAAAATGACAGCATGTAATACTTTAGTAATTGTATTGTTTTAGTTCATAATTCAATCTTCGACAGCTAAAATCTTAAAATAAAATCTGCAGGAAAAAAAATCCCACTAATCCAAAGAAAAAAGTACTCACAATAAATATTGACTCCCAAAAGTTATTGTTCCATGCGACATATATATTGAATGATCAGTCGATATAGTAATTATTGCAACAGGCCTAGCAGGGGCTAATGTAACTACTGAAGATTTACTGTTGAAAGGAATAACAAAATGTTCAATGGTATCATTATTTGTTAGGAATTGGCTCCTCAAACTTGCCACATTAATCTTATTGTGTAAATTTCTTCAGATGACCTCAATCATGTCTTTGGGATTGAATAATGACACCACATTTTGACACTTTTTGTTTATTTATGCCAGCTTAGTGGATTTCAAACTTTGTGCCAGTTTCTGTGGATAGGTCCAGTACCGAAACATTAGCCTTAAACCAGGACAACAAATCTGGAGTCAGACCCTCCTGGTCAGTTTTAAACTGTAGACATTATATGTTGTGATGTGACATGAATGCTGCCTATAGCAAGAGTAATTTTGAAAGCCATTTACTATTCAAGATCTTGCTATACATTTCCATTAAAGACCTGTGCTTGGTCTAAAGAAAAAAAAAATGGAACAGTGGAATATAGGGTAGAAGCATTGAGTCACTATGAATCATGGAGGGTTTCAGCAGCTGTCAGCCAGATGAAGAAAAAGTCAGAGTCTAACAAAACTAGGCTATATGCTCAACTTCAAAGCATATACTTACTATACACATGAACATCCAGTGCATCCAAAGTTTACAGTTTTTAATGATCCTTCTCCCTGCTAAAAGATCTTCCCAGCCAGATATTTCCTCTGGTCTTCAGCTGCTGTGGCTTGGGTTAAGTCAGTGCAGGCTTGACAGTAATCAGTTATTCAGCTCTGGTATTCAGAGCTGCAGACAGAGGGATGGCCGTGTCTCACCACAAAGTAAATCGGACCCTGTAAAAGCAAAACTTTACCACTAGCACTGGAGCTATAGTGTAAAACCACAAATGTTTCCATCGCTTGAGAGGTGGTCTGCTGCATGTTTGTTTCACTAATGGTAGGTATGTCTTGTTCTGACCCCATCTCAGCTCCTCTCTCTTCTTCTTTAGCCGTCCCCGTGGCTTTTGATTTGCCCTCTGTTTCCACTTAACTCAGCTGGATGTTTTCCAAGTAACACCTCAGCACACTTTTTTTATGGGCAGTTGGAGACTTCTTATAGACACGGCACACATGGAGAATGCATGGGGCCTGACAGGGAATGTATGGACGCATTCCTAGTTTTATTGTAAGCTATAGTTCTGCCACTTATTCAGGAGGATTTCTAAATCGGAATTTCAAGATAACACAATAGAGCTGATGTTCCGTGATTGCTGTAGTAATCTGTCCCCAGTGCAATCAGCAAAGTAGAGATTGCGCATCACTCTCCCAATTAGCTATGTCAAATTACAGCATGGCTTTTTATCCACCAGTGCTCGTTTGATAATGTTTATTGGCAGGTGTCTACAGAGGAGAGGCGGAAGAAGTGAATCCACAGCTGGTGCGTTTCAACAGGGACAGATGCATTATGTACAACTCTACTGTAGTGTGCAGCAGATGGCTACTTCCACTGACGCCAGGCTCTGCTACTTGCCCATATATCTCCATATTGCATCCACAGAAGTATCATATAATTTTCATTTGATGGACATGTTTGCTTAGCTGCACTTTTCTTCTTCGTTACCTACTCCTTCTATCCGTCCTTCCCATTTTTGCTCCAATCTATTACACTGTGCATGAATGGCATTTCCTTTAGTCTCCATTGTAAAGCTTCAATCAAGTGAGTTTCTTCTCATAGAAAGGTACGCAATGAGTGACCTTGTCTTAAAAAGCTTTCATTCTTTACAAAGTCAAACTCTGCACTTTTGCTTTATGCCTGGCATAGACAATGAAGTACTTTCACTTTGTAATGCTTTGCCTTAGATTACCTCTCGCACCCAGGTACCACTTGGCTCAAGAGAAGACAAATAAGCAAAGTGATTTTGTCATTGGGCTCGACATGCATCCTTTATCTGGGTTTATTTGAAGGAAAGGCTAATTGTTATGCCTCAGAGGTCCATTGTTAATTAGAAGTTATCTCGGTCTGCTCTCGCATGGTCACTCCTCTAATTGGCAGTCAGCGCCGCGCACCACCTGGCCTAGCCTTTAACTCACCAGGTGCTCGCAGCCAAACCGCAAGCCTTGGCATTATGTGGGTATGAGCGTTTAATGGAAGGAGGACAGAGAGAGACAGGGAGGAATAGGAGAGGAGAAAAAACTATCTCATCTGCTGTCATTTTGTAATTAAATGCAAAAAATAATGACTACTTACCATATCACTTGAACTTTTGGTACCACATAATCAGATCATCATTATCAGATCATTATTACAAACAATGGCATATTTCAAACACACACTGCACTGCCTGGTTGATCTCAGCTGCTGTGGTTTGCAGCAGCACAGGAAATGTACCAGAAAGCTGTAATTAAAGTTGACACCAGTGCTGTCCATGGCACAGACTACAAAACTGAAAAAAACATGGGAACATATAGATTCAAGGCTGCTCTCCTTGGAATGTTTTTGTAAAGGAACTTAAACTTAAACTTTTGACATGGAACATTACAGAATACAAATGAAGCAGGTAGAGCCTTGCCATTCACCTTTGTGCTTAGTTTAGGCTGGTTGCTGGTTCAAATAAGATCTATGAAACTATAGACCGGTTTGCATTGAAACATGTTTTCGTGTTTGCCTCAGCTCTTGCTGAGAGGATAGAGAAGAATAGATGAGTATATTTTGTGGAGAAATATTATGTTAGAATCATTTTATACACCAACAATAAAAAAATAAAATAACCCAAAAAATAAATGGAAACCTGCATGGACAAAATTATACAATCAATGACGACATGAAATCAATTTCATTATGCACATCTTGAACTGAATAGTGGTTTCAATAATTAGTATATTTTTTCCTAGCAGCTAATAGAACTTTTGTCACTGAAAATACCAAGGATGAGGTGGTGTAATGAAACAAAGATACCTGCTTGGTTAAATTCACGCTCAGGTGGAGTCCAATTAGCCAAAATCTTGATATTATTCTACGGAGAAAGGTGTTGTATTGGTCTCAGAGCATGGAGATGGAAGCTTGATGGCCTTTCAAAGCAGCAGACAGGTGCCCTGTTCAAGACAAACAAACCTCTGATAAAATGTGCCGTACATCACTGTGCTCTGGAGAACAAAAGACCTTTGTCTTTACATGGCACAAAGTCAATGGGGATGCTTTGTGTTGCCGCTCCAAAGTTCACACTTATTCAAATGTGTCATCCCTTTGTTGTCTTATTACAATGGTAATCTGAAATGTACGGAGTGAGATAAAGCTGTATGATACAGTATGAAGGAAACATTAGAGCATAGTCCTTTAATTATGTTTGTGTTGTGGATGCAGCCTTGGGCATTACGGAGCAGAAGATGGGAATGTTCGAGAAGTGTTTCATGTTGCTCTTATTATTTTTATTATTTATTTTTTTATTCTTTGGCCTTGAGCGCTGGACGTGCACTTCTTATACATTAAAACATTAATTTACTCTGGATGTGTCCGATCAGCAACTGCACTAGCCGTAATAAGTCATGTGTAAAATGAAAAGCTAAAGGCCACAAAGAATAAGACAAATTGAAAATCACTTTCTTTCTCTGCCCTAATTATAATAAAGTGACCAATCAGTGGTGTGACTGCTGTAATTAGTGACAGCAAAATCATTACTTTGGCTAATGCTCTACTGCCACTGTCATTAATAACGCTTCATTAATTAAACATACTATGGAAAACAGTTGCCTCGTTGCATGAAAAAATGACTTATCGTTGACTGGACTTGCAGATGTCTCACTAGCTTAATTTTGAACTAGAGGTCATTTCAGGAATAATGAGCAGGAGAAATGTAAATACACCTCCACTCAACTGCTGTAGCACGTAGAATTGCGTAGATGTCAATATTGAGTTTAAGCACCTGCTCTACTAAGAAGATAACTGTGGTAGGAAATGATAGT